ATACTTCATTGAATATGAGTATAACTGAGGAAGCCAAAAACTCGAACATGCTAACCAGCACTGCTCTGGTATGACTGCGTTAACAACACAAGTTGGAAGCTAATTATAAAGATAAACAGATGAGTTGGTTCTATCTAGAAAGAATTTGAAACTTTTGCTGTATATTTCATAATATATTGAGTGATATCTAAAGAAAGTATTTTCCTCTCAACACTATTTTGGCTGTGTTCTTTTAGCATTGGAGGTGAATCCCCATACTCTTAAAAAAGCCTTCGAAATTCTTGCTATATGAATTCTTTAATATTATCTACTCGAAGTTATCTGATAGATTGCTTAGTTTTATTTTGGATTTGTATAAAAGAACAATGCATGCTTCAACACAGTTTTTTAGTACAATTATCCATGACTTGCAGCTGTAGTTATTGATAATTATTAAAAATAAAAACAATGTGTATGATGGATGGCTTCTATAGAAGAATACCAAATATTGATAAAGATGAGATTAAGGATAAATACTTTTTGAAATGATTTTTTATACCAAAATTTGACATAGTCTAAATTAGGCCATAATTACATTGTACCACTTTTGAATGTAATTAGTATAGATTACCTTTGATAGAGCCTATTGAAATGACCTTTATTAAGAAAAATAAAGTCAACATGAGTGCCATAATAAAAGACAAAATGCCTTCATTGGAAAACTTTGATATAAAATGAGAGTCTTTGATATTTTTGGATTATGATAAAAGAGCTTCTAAAAATATGTTTCCAAGAAATAGATGTCTCATTTGTTACACATTGTGAAAAATTTAGTTTTAATAAGAACAAGCACCACTATCAATTTACCAAAGTGTTTCCAGGAGATTAACCAATTATTTCAAGATAAACATATACATTAGAGATGAAAATGATATTCATACCTTTAATGAACACCCTTGTTAGGAAGCATGTGGCAATTCACAAGCTTTATTAAGTTGAGCTAGATAGTTTTTATCTTTATGTGAGAGCTTGCCAAACTTTAGTAGCACTTCTGGCATGAAAAGCATGGAGTTGATCCACTTTCATATGTTAAAATATGGTATTGAATTTTGTGAAAGCCCCATTTTAAGCGACAACTCATTCTATTTTCTTAGAAACTCTTAAGAGTAGCTCTCAAAAAGTTTTTGCCTAGATGTTAGCTATGCTTTAGAGAGTTAATTCCTCTTCCAGAAAACTTATTATGGGAGTGAAATCAAGCTTCAAATCACACCCCATTTTCTTTGTGCAAGAAGAAACCAATTAAACATAGTGTCATGAGAGAGCATAGTAGCAATGGCAACCCTTTATCTTGCTCTGTTGTCACGAAAAAATGAATAGACTAGAGAAAAATGAAATAAAAGAAGAAAGGATAAACAAAAGAATCAAAGTAAAAAAACAAACTCAAAGCAAGTTATAACCATGATCCTTAGATGTTGTTTCTAAAGTAAAATTCTTCTAAACTTGTGATATCACTTTATATATGAATGAATAATGTATATTGATGGCTTGATTTTAGGGCATAGTAAGAATCTAACTGATCTAGATAAAGGATCTTTGGATAATATTTTTAGTTATATAGATGCATTTTCCAATTTCAGAAGAAAATGGATTCTAAATCTATATTTAATCTACCACTATTGTAATGATTTTCTTGTCATACTTTTAAAAACTTTTCTTGAAGGTGCTTTCTTTGCAACCATAATGCCTCTTAGCACCTTATCTTCTTTAACTCCCATTATCAATCCATTGAGAATTCTAGAAGAAACATATTGACACATTGGATCCTTAGGGCTTTATTAGTAGATAAACAACAGATAAAGAATGGATAGAAAAGGATATTTTTCTCTGATACCAAGTTGTAAATCATTGAAAGGAGAGGAATATTTAAAATTTCAAATACATCCCTGTTTTTAATCCTTATTTTTATGTTCTTTTGTTTTCTACCAATTATATTAGATCAAGGCATAGTTTAATTGAGAGGAATACTAATATTTAGGAGCAAAATGAACTATAACACATGTAAGAGAAAAGAAATGATTGCAATACTACCCACTTTGGGTTTATATTGATGAGACTATTTGAGAGTATATGTTGTATACATAAAAAGTAATTAATAATTAATATGCTTTCTACTATTAGCTTGTAGTTTATTTTGTTGGATAATTTATAATGGTAATAAATATTCCAGGAAAAAATAAAATACTTTATTTATTTTAAAGAGGAAAATATTATTCATTTAAAATGATAAATAAAGTAAAGTATCTTTTTCTTTAAGTTTGAAGACTAACTTATTTTGATTTAGATTTGAAGAAACATTAAAAGAACTTTATAACTTTTCAAATTCTACAAATAAAGTTTTTTGGGATTAGTAAACCAGAAATCTTTAAAATGTGATAAAAAATTAAGATGCTGTTTTTAAGGAATTCATTAAATAAAATCAGTGGTAACTATAAATATTTCCATTTTAATAATGAAATTGATTTTGACAAGAATGACAATCTAAAAGACTTATGCATTAATGCTGAGGAGATGGCTAAAGAATTAGTTACAAAGACTAGAAAACAATAAAAGATTCCAAGAAATTATTTTAGTTTATAATTCAAAATTACCTAAATTAATTTATTTCTTTTGAGCTTAGAAAAATGATTTAAATATCATTACACATTATTACAATTATGTGAATAGTTTATTACTATTTTATGATATATATTAAAATTATGATAATAATTATAGTTACTAATTTATTTAATATCTTAAATTATGAGCAAACTAGGCACAAATAGTAGTATAATAAAAGTAATTTATATAAAGGTATAATAAGTTAAATCCTAATATTATATTTACATAAATTAGAAATAATTTCGCATAGTGGAAATAGTTTTGACATTGTAGAGTTAAATAAGATAACGGAGTATAAAATTATAAAATTTGCTAACCTTGGGTTCACGTTTAATCTCGCTCAAGGGAGCTCATGTTTGATCCTGTCCCCTTTGGAAAACTTGCATCCGCTTCTTCAATTTTGCGACACTCCATTGAAAAACGTCCTCAGTTCCTTTCCCCAAACACATGAACTTCGAGCCTGGACTTGTTATTCTGGAACTTTGAGAACTTGGTTACAAGTCGCCCCACGAACTTGGAAGAACTTGGTCATTAAAGTCACCAACGAACTTGTTTGGTCATTCAAGCGGTGCCTCTCCAGCAAAGTTCGATCGATCAAACTAACAACCATGCTCAATATTTGAGCCCGGGCTTCCTCTTCCTCACCGTCTTATACCCACACTTGCAAGGCTTCCCCCACGGCGTCACCGAGGGCCGTCCCCCGTTGGTCCGCCCGCCATGCGGATGATCCACGGGGTTCTTGGCAATCCCTCGGACATGCGGCCGGACACCCTTCCACCGATTCTGCCCCGCCTTGTACATCTTGGGCTTGACGATATTCGGATTGGTGAGCGGCCCGATCACCGCCCGGCACCGCGAGTCGAAGATCTTCTCCTTCCCGGACGGCATCCTCACCGCCACCCGCGGCTTGTCCGTCCGCTTCTTGGTGATCTTGGCGAACGTCCCCTTGGCCCGGACGAGCTTGGCGCCCTGCCCGGGACGCATCTCAATCCCATGGATCAACACCCCGATGGGAATGTACGCCATGGGCATGGCCACCCCGACCATCTGCTTGACGTCGAGCTGGTCGTAGACGGTCACCTTGAGCTCCTTGCCGTGGTCGGGGCGCGGGCACACGACGGGCACGGGGCCGTCAAAGACGGGCAGGCCCTTGTAGAGGTCGTCCTTGACGGGCGGCGGGGGCTGCGCGTTGAGGAGCTCCGGCGGCGGGAGGAGCACGTCCTTGACCACGGAGAGGTCGAGGTTGTTGCGGACGGCGTAGTGGTGGAGCAGGTAGTTCTGTGCCATGAGGTGGGACTTGGCGTCGCTGAGGGGCATCTGGAATGTGGGATCGCCGTGGACGTCGGCGTGGGCGAGCTTGTACATGCGCGCCTTGAGCACCTGCCAGATGTTTACCCCGATGCCGGGCTCCACGCGCGACGGCTCCATGAAGGAGCGCACCTTCACCTCGCTGCCCGCCTTGCCCAGCCGCCGGACCATGTCGCCATACCTCTTGGGCCGCATTTCTGCCCCTTCCCCAAGAGCCCTAAAACCCAACTTAGGTATTTGATATTAGTTTAAAACATGGTTTTTAGTATATTATAAAAATAAAAACTTTTTTTGAAGGAATTTTGACATAATAGAGTTTTAGATAAAGCTTTAACTTTGATAAAGAAAATATAGAAAATACCTTATGCTATCAATAATAAAATAATTATTATATAGAATTTAATTATCTATATATTTTTCTAGACTTTATAGAAATAATTATATAATTTTAAAAAAAAATCATAAAAATTAATTATTTTAAATTAAAAAAAATTCATTATTTATTTTACTTGGGACATGAACTTTTATTAATAAGGTTTCAACTTATTTTTAAAATTATAAACTAAAGAAACTTTATTTTGAGTGATTTTACAAAACTTTACTTTATGTAAAAGTGCAAGTATTTGGTGTTAAGTTCTATAACTTTAAGTTTTCAAAATTTAATAATATATTTTCTAAATTACAGATATCATTCTTTTGTAATAATTCTAATTGATGATACTAAAGAAACAAATAAAGTTTTCCACATTTATTATCTTTTTATTATCGTAATTAGATGTTAACCACGTTTTAGGTTGTTATAAATTATAAATCTTATTAATATATACATATTGTTTAATTAGTTACATATTAGCTTTTAACAAAATGATACGTTAATTATATAAAAAGTTGGTTTGTGCATTAACACCATTATCACATAAAAGTTTTATAAAAAATTATAAAAAAATTATTGATATTCATGAACAAGTAAGGGCATATTTAACTTTATAATAATGTATATGTAACTCATTTGGTATGTATTGAAAAAGCTTAAGCATATAAATATTTTCCATTCCATACATTAAAATTTATAATTTTTTTAATTTATAGAAATTTTAAAAATATTTCTATTTTTAAATTAAAATAATATTTTTAATTGGTATTATATTTAATGTTAATTATAAATTTATTTATTTGTTATTATGTTTACAGTGCGTAATGAAGCCATTCGAAGGCGTAAATGATTTGGAATTCACGAAAAAGCTTGGCATGTTTAAAATGTCTGAATTCAAGCAAATGTATGTAAATTTCGATACAGTGGAAGAAAAGTATGAGATCCTTTTTAGGAACTATGTATTCAATATTTAAGTTGCCATGTGCTATCCTTTGAATTTGTCATTTACATTTAGGAAGGAGAGGGAGAACTAGATTGCCATTGGCTACGGTAGCACCAACAGCAAGGGGTTTATATTAGCCAATTTTCTATAAAGACATTAGAGAAGAATTTACAAGTCAGTTAACATGAGCTAAATTCTCTAAGAATGAATAGGAGAACATTTTAGAGTCACTTTGCTAATGTAAGACGTTCGCAACAAACTCCTTAAGGAATTAAAGGGGTTAGAACTTCATGATTTAGTTATAGAGCACGTAAAGGCTACTAAGAAGCTTCTAAAGATCAATGAAGCAATGATTTAATTCAGCATTATAGGATTGAGTGAGAAGATTTGGAAAACGGTTAATGCAATTTTGGAAGAGCAAAGAAAAATGGCCATGGCTTTTATGCGTTGCATAAATTATTTTAATAAAGGAATGACTAAGCATGAGAGTTCAAAATTTCTATTTTTCTAAAGTTGGATCTTAGAGCTAAACTAAAACTAATATCTATTAAAAAATATAAAATTCCAAAACTTTGTTTCAGTTATTTTGAAATCATTAAATAAATATTTTCTAAAGGTTTATGCTAGTTTGTCTACGTACATAGTAAAATATATTAAAAAATGTTATGACTATTTCTAAAATATTTATTATTTTTAATATTAAATAAATTTTATATATGTTTTTTGGTGTTTTTTTTTAAAAATAAAATAATGGTTTAAGTTAAATTTTTTACTACTTACTAATGAACTTGCTGTTTCTCTAAATTTATATGTTTACTATTATTGCTCAAAAAGTTTCAAACCTTTGTTGATATTAACTAAATTTGACTATTAGAAATATTCATACTGATTAACATGGATTTGCTATGGAAATGTTTTTATTTTTATTTTGTTAAAATTCTTGTGTTTTTCTTAGAAAATGTTTGAACCATTCTTAAATTTATGTTTAATATGAACTTTGTATAGTAACAAACCTTTAAATTTAGATATGCAACTGAGTTTTATGCTTATTAGAATATAGATTTTCTCCTTATAATCGCTCTTTTGCTCGTTCGGTTCATCTCTATTTGTACCTCTACTTGAATTGGTGTGAGCTGGATCATGATTAACACTTCTACATTCTAGATCCTCTTGATTGCTTCCTTGAGCTCCTTCACATTGTCCTTAATGGTTTCATAGTTGCTTTCATACCCTCCAATCTTGTGTCATCTTGTTTTCTTTCACCACTTCCAGCAGCTCGTTCTTCATCCCATGCCTCATCCCAATATATTTCTGTGTGCACAATAGTCTAACACCTGTTTATCTAAAGACTGTTCTTTGCAGCTGCACAAAATATTCTTTTCGACCAGAATTATTGAGAATCAATCCATTTTTTTTACAACGAATCGGGAAAGAATAAAATAATGATTGTCTCCATCGAGCTCCCCACCGTCAGTTAGCTCCCAGGATTGAGAGGACCTACACGAGAAAGGAGTAAAATAAAGAACGGAGAGACGAAGATGACGATGTTGTTTACCTGCATGGAAAATTTCGCCACAACGTCGGCGGCGGATAGATCGAGATCGGTTGGATCGGAGTCGCCATCTTGTTGGTATCGCTTCTGGCGCTCGAAGAAATCATCGCTGGAAATTGACGAGGAGCTCTGCACAAATGTTGGCACTGTCGTCAAATGGAAAACCAGAAAGGACATCCATGACTGACCGAGAATTTCATGAGACGCGTTTGGCTGTCAGCATCGACGGTGGTGACCTTGTTTTCGTTGAAAAACTGGGACGACGATATCGATTTGGCGTTGGCGAACTTCTTCTGTGCCTCGTTGCTTTCTTCGACCTTACAAAATCTGGATCGTTAGCGAGACGACGAGAAATAAATGCTCTTGACTTACATGTTTGGAGCGGGCAGTGCTAGCAGACGACTTGTGGTTTCCATTAGAGAACTGGGAGAAAAAGTCTCCATTAGCCGATGGCGCCGAAATATGCCCATTTGTGGACTTTGACGACTCCTCGTCTTTCCAAGTAAAACGCGCAATTCGAGGCTGGGGCGCAGGGACAGGAGCGGGCGCTCGGGACACCGCAGGAGGAATCTCTTCTGGCTTCTGGTCGTAAAGACTATCATTTGTCTGCAAAGACGTTTTGACGAAGTTCGTTAAAAGTTCTACCATACAAAGGAAAGGCAAACAGTACCTTGGCTGTGAGCTTCTTGATTCCCAGGCCACCGGACTTGGTCACGCCGTTTTTCTTTGCGAGAACTTGCGCAGGCTTCCTTGAAGAAACAGTAGTGGTGGTGGTAGCAGCAGCCGGAATTGGAGCTGGAGCTCCTGCTGCTGTTACTGCTGGAGGAGCAAAATTGTCGAAGAAGAAAGAATCATCGCTAGTTTTCTCGTCCGGAACCTTGGAGTTTGTCGAGGAACGTCCGTTACAAGCGGCGGCTTCTTTGGCAAGAAGCTGCCTGTAGAGATCAGCCGCTCTAGACTTATACTTGGACTCGTTCTTACCACTCTCGGTCCACCCATGCTGCTTAAAGAAGGTCTGCGCTCGGGCATTGCCACCAAAGTCCATGAGTTTTAAATGCTCTTGACTCCAAGAGTCTAGGATTGTGGACCTGGATCCAGCAGAGATTTTGTTTTAAGCCACGAAGAACAAGCAAAGAAACTTTCATACCTCACGAAGCTAATGTGGACACCGAGGCTCCTGTGCATCGAGGAGCAGTCAAGGCACACGAAAATTCCATACGTTGTGGAGGCCCACGACGGATTCTTGGCATTGCAGTCAAAGCACAGCTACAAAACAAGAGAACCAAAGCCTCGCACATTGTCAGCTCCGAATCGCCGGCATTGGGCACTTCCCTACCTTGTTCTCCGGCCGCGCCTTGAGCTTCTTGAAGAGCAAATCCCGGTCCAGAACCTCGGCGCCGGCCCCCGACATTGCTCGCCCGCTCCTGGAATCGCCTAGCGCATCCCAGATCTAGCTCGCCGGGCCCTAAGAACCCTAAATCCCAACCACAGGGAATAGGGGAGCACACACCTTTCGCCTTTTGGCTGTTGGCGAGTGCCTCTCAAAGCCCAACCAACAGTAAAAAATCAAAAACAATGACAAGACCTAAGAGCGTTTTAGGGCATAGCGGCATATTCCTTAGAAAATGCCTTGCGTCCATCCGACGGCTGTGATTACGGTCATCCACGTGTTTTGGTCAAACGGCGATCAAAAGTCCTCCGCGTAACACGTGTCCAGCTTGAAACACGGAACTTCTGGCGATCGTCGGATCGCGGCCGAGGATGAAGCTTCGCGGAAGCTGCCTTACCGATCTTGAGAAGATTGGCGGGCTGTCACGTGCGCGTTTACGGCCGCCTTTGACTGAGAGTCAGCAGATGGACGGCTGGGATGGGGCGCAGCCTGGCAGCTGGAGCCACGCGATGGCCGCCGCGTGGATGAGCGTAAGAGACTTAGGGTTTATATAGTCCTCCCAGTTGAACAGGCCCCAACCGCAAATTTCACACACCACAGAGGCGAAGAACACCTTCCTTGATCCTCGCGGGGAATTCAACTTAGAATTCTTCTCACAGGGTTGAAGGGAATAGAGAAAAATTCAAGTCGATCGTGCGCAATGGCAACCGCCACATTCATCGAAGAGTCTCACGCGCACAGGAGAGGGCCGCTCTCGGTCAGCAAATCCTCCACGAGAATTGCCAAGCTCCGGCGAGGAGGGTCAGCAGCAGCGGCGGTGGCAGCGGGCACTGGAGCTGGAGCTGGATCTAATCAGCGCCCACCGCCGGCGGTGTACAAGATCGAGCCCGAGGGATTCCGGAGCTTGGTCCAGGAACTCACAGGCCCCAATTCCTCCTCGATGGCTCACAACCAGCAGCATCACCAGCAGGAGCAGCAGCCCAAGAGGCTCCATGGCTTAGCTCCTCCTCCAATCTCGCCATTCAAGCCCTCCTTCTACACTCCCAGCCTCAGCCCCAAATTCGAGCAGCTCCTCAGCTCCTCCTCGCCCAAATTCGCCTTCGCTCCGCTCACGTTCTCGCCGCTAGCGGATCTCACGCCGCGCGACAGCGTCTGGGCCAGCGGATTGGAATCGCCCGAGATCAAATCTAGCTCCTTCTCGGCGCTCATCGCCGGCGGCGACGATAGCAGCAAGATCGAGCGCGCTGGCTCCTTCACATTCTCGCCAAGGCTTCTCCAGGGCTCATCCTTGGCTGGCTATGGCCTTGGCGGAGGATTCAGCTCGGATTTTAACTTCTCCAACTTGTGATGGAGTCCAATTTTTTTTCTCGTCTCTATCGTTCTTCCCAGGAAGATCAAGATGATACTTTTCACCCTCTTTGTAAATTTAAAGCAAGGCTTTTACCTTTGTTTACATATACAACACAACAAATATACCACCAGCTTATTTACCACTTGTGTGATTATTTACACCGAGTTTCCAGCATCCTCCTTGTCCACTGTTAGCCAATCGTTCGATCCCATCCTCTCGTGTTTCTTCGCGCACTCCTCATCGATCTCTTCCTCGGATTTTGCTTTGGTGTCGAGCTCCACCCAGCCTTGGGCTTTAGCGGCGCGTTGGATCCTGCCATCGTCGTGATCATCCTCTAGATCACTGAAGGAAACATCATCCTCGTCGTTCCCTGCCGCCGAGATCTCTTTGTTGGTGTTCCCTGCGTTTGATCCTGTAGCTTCCTCGTCTAGCCATTCATCCGCCTCGTTCTCCTCGGAGGATTTCGCCGCCGCGAGCTTCACTGTGCTTGGGATAGCGTCCTTATCCACGACAAGGGAATCGTCGGCTTTGATAGCAGTAGCAGTAGTAGCCTGGACTTCTTCTTCATGACGAAGCTGTTCCAAAAGAATCTTTCGGGCCTCGAGAACCTGAAAGAAAGGAAGGAAAGTAGCAAGCGTACAGTGGAAGTAGAAGTACTTCTCTTACCTGTGGTGTAGACAAAAGCGCGGCATCCTCCTGGCTCAGCCGGGGATGGACGAGGACGAAATAAATCTTCCAAAAACGTCCCTCGTTCATATGCCGGGGACAAATCTCGACTTTCAAGGCAGCGAGCCTCAACGCAGCACGCTCCACTGCGTAAGCGTGGTCCTTTTGGAAGCTGTTCATCTCAAATCCTGCAAGAAAAAAGAGATTTTTTTTCTCCTGCTAAGCGATCCTCAAGGTAAACAATGTCAAAACACTTCCCATACCGTTTTGAAGATCATCGTCCGAGGCAAGAGGAAAGTCGAGCCACGTCTCGGGATGCAAAGAGACGTTCCTCGCAAACGCGACAACCTCGTCAGTGAGCCCCGGGACCTCGATGGCGTCGTCTGGCTCGTCATCAAACAAGAACAAGCTTGACGCAAGCTTGGACACTCCATCCACGAGAGTCGCCGCCGAAATCCCCATCTTGGAAGACGACTCCACGCCACCACCACGACTGGTATCTTCTTCGTCATCAACAGGAGTAACCTGGCCGGCCGGTTTGTCGCTGGAGAGAACGTTGTCAATCAAAGGCTTGAGCAGCCCCGCGATTCCATGATCCTGGGAAGCTCCCTCCGGCTTGTCACTGCTCCGGGACTCATCCCCCCGGATCACCGATGACAAGCGCGACAAACCTTTCGCGAATCCTCCCTTGAGTTCCGCAAAGTCGCTTTGCATTCCACTCAGCTTCTCTTTCTCAACGATACCAACACTGGCATTCTCCACTCCTTGATTTGCCTGATAATCATCTCGAGAAGTCTCCTCTTCTACCTTGGGAGAATTTTCTCTGGGTAACTTTGGCGGCGGCGCAAGAAAAGAAGCTACCCCCCACAGCGATTGCGTGAGAGACTTCCGCAATTCAGCCAGATCCTCCCCCACGCTCTGCCCCGGCTCAAAAAGCTCCGGATCGTCCCAAAATTCTGCTCCACTCTCATCCTTCTCTTCCTTGTCCTCCTTGTCCTTGAGAACCCCTGTCAAGGAGCGCGAAATCCACGACATTCCTCTCGCCCTTGCCGATCGATCGCTACATTCTACTCATCTGCTGCCCCGCAAAAGCCCTAACCCTAATCACACAAAGGCGAAACTCTAGCCAACGGACGCAAGACACGTGGACTAAAACAAAAGCTTTGTCAGGAATGGGATTCGAACCCATGCCCTTGCGGACTAGTACCTGAAACTAGCGCCTTAGACCAACTCGGCCATCCTGACTATTGGTAAATATTAAAAATTATTTCCTACGTGTCCATACCTCTTTGGACAAGGTGCTACTTCTTAGGGTTAGGGCTTTTTCAGCTTCCAGGCGCGATGACGGAGGATCAACAGCACAAGAAAGAGGCGGCCGTGGCGTATGACTACGACGGCGATCCTCGCTGGGCGGATTACTGGTCCAATGTGCTTGTGCCCTCGCATTTGGCCGCAAGGCCAGAGGTTTTGCGGCATTTCAAGCTCAAGTTCTACCAGAGATACGTTGTAAGTTTATCTAGAACTCAGAAAATAGTGTTTTTCTTGCTGCAAATCTATCTCCGTTAAGCATGAGATTGATGGATGAGAGATGTTTTGTGATTTTTTCCAGGATCCGGACCTTGTTGTGGATCCTCTTTCAGCGATTTCTTCCCCGAGATCGTCTTCCAACTCGGAGCCAAGAGTGCAAAGACGATCTGCGACTGGAGGTACTGTTTTTTCTTCTTCTTTCCATCTCCGTTAGAAGCAAATGAGAATTCTCTTTGCAGCTGATCGCAGCAGCACAACGCCTCCACCGGAGACCACTCGCCAGCAGTCTCCACCAGCGTCTACTGCTTCGCGGAGCTCTTTCAGAATGGATCCTCCAACGATACAGTTCCTTGCCAATGCTTGGGTATGTCAAACTTGTTCATCTTTTCGTTCTACTTGTTTTATCCTGAAAAAGTGATCCTCCTGCGCTAACATTTCTCGTTTGATTCTTTGGCAGGTCACAGTGATGGCTGTTTTGGCTATGTTTCCTTTCCTTCCTTATGCACTAGCGGAGAAGGCTTACAGGTTAACTCTACTTGGCTCGGCAGCAACTAACTTGTATTGTATTGCGAACCAGCACGGGGTAGAGTGATTGTTTTTCGATCGTCCTGTTTGCCTGATCTTATTTTTCAGGCTCCGGCGACTTGGAATCTTCAAGGCTTGCAAGATTGGCTCCGATCAATCTTTGAGACTACTGGAAACGACTTCCTCTATCTTTTGTACGCGTTCTTTTTTGTCTCAGCATCTATTCCTCTCAAAGGTACTCTCTTTCTTCCTTTTGTTCTTTCTGAAGGCTCAGTGGACGAAATGTCTGCGCAGTTGCTGTGATTTCTTTGGCTATACGCTCTCTGGAGCAAGTAGTGTACCATCTAAGACGGAATTTCAGCAACACTCGACTTTACAGGTCTTGTCACGTTGATCTTCCTAGAGGTGGTCTTTACAATTTTTTCTTTCATTCTCCAGAAAGTATCTCGACAAGCCATCAAACTGGGTGGCTTCCAACTCAAACCTTTTGAAGAGTCTCAGTGCCAACGCTGAGATCGGACTTGGTTTCTTGCTAATCATCCTGCTACTAACGTAAGTTTCTTTTTTCTCTCTTCTCTCTAAATCCTCGTTTCGATGATGCAGGCCGCAGCGAAACATCATCCAAGCATTCGTTCACTGGAGGGTAAGTTTCTAGATTTCGTGTTTTCTCGCTAGCAATTCCTGAGCTCTCGAATTTCTTATCGCAGCTTCTTAAAATGATGTACGCGCTTCCAAGCACGGCACCATATCACCGAAGCTCTTGGTCGGCTATTGGCAGAAGGGTGAACCCACTTATCCACCAATACGCTCCATCTCTCGCAACACCCATGGCCTATTTGCAACGATGGTTCGTCTCATAGCCAAGTTCTTATCTTTCTCGATCCAACCAAAAAAAAGTTTGGAGCTTCGATCAAACGCTTTTCTTTCTCAGCGGCAAGAATTCCATAGAGCTATTTTTTTTCGAGCAGCTGCTTGGTGGTTTTGAGTGGGGTCTTCTTCGCTATGGGCTATTATCTTCTTTATGGTATAGTGGAGAAGCAGGGCTAGGGCAAAGGCTAGGGTTCTTAGTTGCTATGGCTCCTGGTCGGAGGAAATCGGCGTCGGCAGGGGCACCAGCAGGTCCCAGGAAGGCCTGGAATGTTGGCGATTTGGTTCTGGCGAAGGTGAAGGGCTATCCGGCATGGCCAGCAAAGGTATGGCGAGTTTTTCTCGGTTCTTCTGGTCTACATTGTGTTGCTTGCGATGAGAATCGTGTGATTTCTGCCTGGAATGCGCTGCCTTGGTCCGCATTGTGCTGGAAATGGCTTCTGGGTTGTGAGATTTTTCTTGCCGCTTTGTTTCCTTAGGTGAGCACACCGGAGAAGCACAAGATGAGTCCCAAGTCCTCGAAAGTTTTCGTGGAATATTTTGGAACGAACGACCTGTAAGTTTCTTTCTTTCGTAGAGTTCTTTCAGGAAAATCTATGACGGTTTGTGTTCGTGGTGTTGTTTCAGTGGCTTCGTCCAGAGAAAAGAAGTCTCGGAGTTTACACCTGCGGCTCGGGCCATCATCGTCGAGAAGGCCAAGTCTGCGCACAAATCTTTCAAGGCTGCGGTCAAAGGGATCTGTGACTATGTCGACAGTTTCAAGGAAAAGCTGATAGATGGAGGAAAAGCGGCTAAGGAGCTCGCGGAAGCTGTTTCGAGCGAAGACCATCAGTCAGGTAGTGGCACTGATTCTCCGGCCAGGAATGTCGATGGTGGGGATTCGATGGGAGTTGTGAGCAGGGATAGTGAAGCTGGTCCGGCGGCAGCAGTTTCTTCTGGCGGCGATACGACAGACCGAGGTGAAGTTGTAGACGAGCAAGAGTTTGGGAGGAAACACGAGGAAACGGCTGATGGAAACTCTGCGAAACCGCTGGGTGAGGAGGAAAGGCTGGATCCTTTGAACAGCTTTGCAAGCGCTGCGTGCTTGGTGCTGGATAAGCTAACTGCCGAGGCAGATAACTCAAGGTGTCTGTCCGTGGAGGATAATGCAAAGACGGTGTCAGAGCAGATCGAGAAAGCTGAAGATGCCGTGGACAAAGATGAAAAGATGGAAACTAGGCAAGGATTTGAAGCTGCGAGGGACAGAATACATGAAGAGGTGGATGAAAGAGAAAGATTTGAAGCTGAGAGAGAGAATGCCACCGAGAAGCTGGATGAGAGAGAAGGATCTGAAGCTAAAGCTGAAAAGGAAAATGTCACGAGGGAGCTGGATGGCGGAGAACGCTTCGGAGCAGAGACAGAGAATGTGACAGCGGGAAATGAGAATCTGGATGACAGAGAAGGCGTTGGCCTGAACAATCCCGAGTCGGAACCAGATGCAGGAGTCTCGCCTCTTGCTATTGTGGTGGAAGCGAAGATCCTGAAAACATACGAGAGGAGGAAGAGGGCGGTAAAAAGTGGTGAAAAATCAGAAAAGAAACAAGATGGTGGGAAAGAATATAAGGACGACAAAGGACAGCCAAGTGGCGAATCTTTGAAAGCGCATACAAAACTTGACACGAAGAACACTGAGAAGCTGGAGAAGAAACTGCTGAAGAAATCGAAGGCGGATGTTTCCGATGGGAAGAATTCTAAAAATGAGAAGCTTAGGCGTACTGATTCGGATGCTACAAAGAAACGGAAGGTCGACTCTGAAGATGATGTGAAGAGAAGGGATAAGCACAGGGACAGGAAGGACGAAACTTTGCCACCGTCCAAGCGGCAGAAGTTTTTGAGAGTGGACCGTGAAGACTTCGATTCCCTGGACAAGAGGGTGAAAGGAGAAAGAGAGAGCCAAACGAAAGCCGTCCAGACGACGAAGAAGACTGTGACTGTGGTAGCGAAGGAACTGCCTGAGCTTTCTCCGGTATCTGCCGCAGCACCTCCGAAGCTCTTTGAGGAGGATACCAACAAAGTTCGTGCGGCGTAAGTTCTTTGTTTGCCTTCGCTCTTCTTGAACTCATACTAAGGACTTGAATTTTACTGACAGTTATGAAGCTGCAAAGGAGATGAAGCAGCGGTTAGCTCTAAAAGATGAGACGTCCTCCGCATCTATGAAGTTCCTAAAAGCTGCAGCTCAGGCGAAGCAGAGAATACAAACAAGCTCCACAACCTCAAACCGCGAGTCGCCACTCTTTATGCGGCCCAACTCTGATAAGTACCATAAGGCCAGTCCATCTCAACGCCGAAGTAGTGGCGAGAAGCACATTCAGCTCAGGACCAAAGGCGTCGACAAGCTGGAAACCTTTCGAGGCATGTTGGAAACTCTCACACGGTCGAAAGAGAGCATCTCCAAGGCAACCCGCTTTGCTATGGAGTGTGCGAATAAAGGCCTCGGGAAAAAGGTGCACAGTCTCATTCTCACTTTTCGTTTCAAGTTGACGAGCTTCTATGCACAGGTGATGGACGTAATCATGCGCAAGCTTAAGAACGAGCGGGATCACAAAAAGCGAGTGGATGTCTTATTCCTGGTAGACTCCTTGACGCAATACTATCATCAGAAAGGTGTGTGAAATGCTTTCTTTGTTGTTCGTCCCTGTGCTGACTTTGTCTGGAGTCGCCTCAGGAACATCCGGACGCGGCTATGCCCACATTGTGGAGGCGTGCTTGGTTCGCTTTCTGTCGGCAGTAGCGCCCCCAAACAGTCCATCGGAGAACCGTCAGCAATGTGTCAAGGTTGGTGCGAGAACTTTATTTCTTTTTGTTTAGTTCGCCAGCTTCTCGTAGTAATTGATTTCTTCCTAGGTGGTGAGTCTCTGGCTCAAGAGGGATATCATGCAAGAATCGCTGCTGAAAGACACCATGGCGAAGCTGGAAGCAGGACTAAACACAACGCAGCGGCAGTACCAGCGGCAAGACCGCGCGATCGACGATCCATTACGTGGTCTAGACGACATGCTAGTCGATGAATATGGGAGGTAATCCTTTCTTTGTTCTTCCTGGCTGAGTTACTCCTGTGTGATCTTTCACTCCAGCAACACGAGCTTCCAGTTGCCAGGCCTCCTCGTTCGTCAAGTCGACGAAGATGATGATCTGCGAAGAGACAGAGGCGCAAGAGCTCCAGTGGTCATGGAGGACGTGGACGGGGAATTGGAGATGGAGGACGTTTCTCCCCGGGCCGAGAATCACTCGCGAGACGACAATAACAGTAGCAGCTCTTCGTTGACGAGGCACGAGGATGGACAGGAAGATTATAATCGAGGTCCACTGCCACCATCGTCGCCGCCGCCACCGCTACCGCCGCCGCCACCGCCAAGCCCGCCATTCCACCTATGATCGGGTCAGTCAATTCTCATCCATATTCTTCATTGTACGTATCTCTGGTGTGTGCCTACACATTTTTATATTGATCGACACTGCTAACCCCGCAAGTAAAATTCATCATACTAAGAAACCATTGTTTTCTCGTTTGATAAAGGTAAAGGTGAAGGTTTCATGGCTTATACCTGCCAGGTAGGTGTCATTATACACGAGACAAATACATTGGAAAGAAAGATATAGCTGGGTAGGTGGCGAAATTTGAGAATATTCGACTGCCGCGGATGTAATATTCCGTCACTCGCAAGTGGACTGGCACACGTGGCGCCATGACCCGCAGTTGGATTTTATTAAGAAAGCGCCCATCTGGTCTTTAAAATACTCCCCCACGCATTGGAGTGGCTTGGGGCGCCTCTCTTTGCTCCCTCCTCCGCATTCTCCGCCCACGCCTTCATCGATTTCA